ACATATCCACACACATTGAAAATCGTGACAATCAGACACCTCAATGGTACAAGAATTAAAGGATTTCAGAAGCTCCAGTGTGCTGCCACTGAACAACTTTTTTTTGGAACTGAAAGAGCAAGAAAGAGACTTTTAAAACTGGTGGTTTACAAGAGGGAGGGTGCTGCAGAGACTGCCCTTTCCAGCGCTCCTTTGGGGCAGCACCTCTCGCCCCGCAAGGCCCCGCACCCATCCCCACCGCGGCGGTGGCTCTGCCTGCAAGGGCTCTCCGCACCCAGGGAGCTGCCCTCAGCACGGCTTCGGCAGGGAGATGGAAACCTTTTCATGGAGAGGTCGGTGCATGGATGTGCCTGCTCTACCAGTGGGTCCCGACCTCCCTCCCTCGCTCTGAGGGCTCCTGCCGGAGCACAGGTCCTTCCCCAGGCGCAGTCGGTGAAACCAGAGAACTTTCTTTAGGGATGTGATTAAGAGGCACTTCCAGGCCCACTCAGAACAACAATATTTATGGAGAAGTGCAAAAATCCTAGCAAGAAATAACCTTAAACCCATCTCCGGAAAGTCTGGGCTAATAAGTGGAATGCTTTTCTCCTAAGAAAGCTACTCTGAGAAAGCTCCCGGGCTAACTTCCATATATGAGAAAAGTAAAAATCCCTGGGGTAGTAAGCCTGAGGCACATACCACAGCCTGAAGCTCAAAGCAGGCAAACAGGCCAACAGACACATGGCTGCAGAAGGAGTTTGCAGGCAGGCAGTGATGTGCACTCTCCCACGCAAAGAGCAGCCAGGGTCCACCACTCCAGGACCGCTGCAGAGCCATCCTGCAAACAGCTGAGCTGAAGAAAGGTGGTTGCCTGCTATTACCTCCAAGCAATCCCTTTTCATCTGTTCTACATATTGTTGTTTTTAAAATTAACCTATTACCCTGATAATTGGTTTTGCTAGCAAAAAAACAAAACAAAACAAAACAAAAAAACACACAGGAGGGAAAACCTGTAGAAGTTTAACAGATTTTCAAGCAGTCGCCACTGAGCCAGGTAGGCAGCTTGAAGCTGAGGAGTGATGTACTCCATTAGAGCCACAAAACCAGCTCAGTGCCTGGTACTGGTTGTAGTCTGGGTAACTCTTATCACTATTATGCCCAGCTATTGAGACATCATCTTATTTTATTTCTTAGTAGGCATAACATTATTATGAGTTATTTCTCCAGGAGTTCCCAGAGTCGTCAGAGAAGATGTCATAATGGAAGGCATTGTAGAGGTATGTAAGAAGACACAATCTCTTCCCTAGGGAAGAAGTTGCAAGAGATATGAAACAAAGGAAGATTAAACAGAGAAGTCCTAACCCTGCTGGGTGCCCCGTTACCGCAGTGAAGCTCTGTTCTCCACTGGTAAATGCAGCATAAGGAGAAATTACTTATCCATGTCCTTATTCTACATATGAGATGAACACAAGATTACAATCTTATCTCTTGCATAGTTTACATGTCATGTGGTGCAGCTTGATCAAGAACAGTCAATGAAAATATGCTGTTTCTCATTACCTGAGGTTCTCAGAAAGTTGTGTGAATATTATGTAAAGAGAAAGACATAAAGACGTACGTAATCTACCTTTGACTGATTTTGAGATCTCTTACGTAGTTATTTCTTTTTTGCGCTAACAGAATAACCCAGGCCTTGCAATTGCTACCCAAACCAGCTCTTTGATTCACTTCAAATCAAAAGCTTGCTCGTGCAAGCAATCAAGTGCAGGACAGTGACTGAGCTACCTGGAAGGCAAAGGCAGCACATTGGGACATCTGCAAAAAACGTTTCTCATTCCCCAGAGAGTCATTCACTTTGGGGGACTTTCTTTTGCATAAGAAGAAAAAGCACAAAAGAGGAAAAGGATGTGTTCTGGCCATCCTCACTATCCAGCATCAGAAATGTTTTATTTGTACAAGCTGGTCTGGTCCCATGGACCGACAGCCCACTTCCACCTTGGGGACTTGGGTTGTGCTGCTGGCACAGACCCTCCTGTTGAGTTTCACCCAAAGGGATTCAGTTCACGAGCTCCACAACTGCTCCATGGCAGTAACCATGCCAAAGTAAGCAAGAATAACTTGAAGATTCACTTCAGAAGTGTACTTCTCATCCAAACTAAAAGACTACTGTAGATGCACCTGAAGACCAAGTGTTATCACTTACCCAGCTGTTGCACCACTGGATTGTATTTACAAAATATATTTGTAAATGCTTTGAATATGTTCTGCCTGGCAGCATATAGTTACTCTTTTTTAAAATAATGTATGGTAATGGAAGGTAAAAAATCATTTTTAATTCAGAATCTGGATTCAGAATCTGGCATTCATTAACTAGAGATGATTAAAAGTCTTGGCCTCTACCTTTAATGACAGGTCTAATGTTTTTGCAGTTTCCTTCATTAAAATACTGTGCTTTCCTGATGAAATTGGTATTTTAAAAAATACATTATCATAAAATGCTCAGACAAATTTCCAAGAATCATAGAATCATTTAGGTTGGAAAGGACCTTTAAGATCATTGAGTCCAACCACAAACCTAGTATGGCCAAGTCCACCACTAAACCATGTCCCTAAGCACCACATTTACACATCTTTTAAATGCCTCCAGGGACGGTGACTTCACCACCTCCCTGGGCAGCCTGTTCCAATGCTTGACAACCCTTTCAGTGAAGATATTCTTCCTAAAGAAGAAATGAATGACAGAGAACAGCTGAACAGTATGAAAAAAAATTCTTATTATGGCTGTTGCACCTACTTGAGATCCCAGATCACCAGTAGATTTACACATACACACAGCTAAGCACACACTTCCACAGTGCTGATGGCACGTGCTATCCCACGAGAGCTGAACTGCACTGCAGTGCTCCACAAAATCATACAGGAGGACAGAAATGGGCAAAGTCAGCTCACTTGTACACTACTTAAGTAGATTGAATTATACCAGAGACGAATTTGTACCATTTTCTAAACTTCTTTTTTTTCTGTCTGTAAAAATGAGATGCTTAGGTTTGTATGAAAATTGTATCACAGAAGGAATCCATAATCCATGTCTACATCAGTATAGCTAACACAGTTTGCTCAGGCCAAATAATTTATCTGTCCTCCCCTTTGTGAAATTCAATCTTTGTTTGCATAGCTAATATCCTCCTGAGTAGCCATAAGCTTCTTCCTTTGTGTATCAGTAGGCTTTAGGAAATGTTTAATCAGTTTGCAAGAGCGCATAGATACAATTCCACAACAACTCTCTCTGTGTCATCTGCAAAAGTCACATATATGAAAATAAAAGTTGTGCCCCTGAAGAGAAATGCTAAGAAAGTGTTCCTACAAAATTCTTCTCTCTTTCTGTAATCATTTTTCTCTCCCTAAACATTTTTTAAGTGGCAAGATGAGATTTGTTTGTTTTTTTGAAGGTGGAAAATAGCTGAGTATTCTACTCTAATTTTTAATTTTATAAAAAAACAAATAAATTGCTGATTTCACAATATGATTTCTAAAATTATCATATTCTTTATACATCATTGTAAAAATAAAGAATATGAAACTATTCTGAAAAATCACTCAGTGTATTTCTGAGCTAAAATCATGTTTTAGCTTCAACCAACCACAATTTTTTAAAAAAATGAATAACCATATGTGCAGTCAGGCAAAAACATTTAAAAAAAATTCAGAAAATATAAATAATAGTTCCAGAGAACTTTCTAGAAGAACAGCATGTATCTATAAGTTCTACCAAACTTAACATGGAAAGCATGATTCTGACACTACCATTTTGAAGCTCTCACTTCAAAGCAGAAAGCTAGGAATCCTCACATATATCCTGTATTACAAGCAAATTCTGCTTTTCATACAGATCTGTGAAAGAAGCTGCCACAAATTTCAGATGTGATTAAAAATCAAGTGCCTGAAGGCAGAAATTTGGACCTTGCGATTCTTCATTCTGATAAAGTGCAGAAACCCACAATATTTCAGAATAACTATAGGTATTTCTCAGACTTACACTGGAGATCACATGTTAAGTTCTCTGAGTTAATTTAAAATTTCAGTCTTACTGAATGCATTGAGAAATATGACTGACAATAATAATAAAAAAAGGAATAGAATTGTACACTTAAAAGCATTCATGGGTTCAAAGAAACATAAAAATGAAGGCCAGAGCTATCTCACTGTGCTATCTTAAGCAGTTTAGAACACTAATAAGAAGTCATTCTTTCAGGAGGTCTTCAGTACATTGCTCCTGGGAAGGAATGTGAGAACCATCTTTCCCCCGGCACTCTTAAGCTTTCAGTTCCAAACTGAAAGAAAAGTTAGAAAATGTGTCACAGGAAAGCATGTTTATGCATGTGGGTTTTGAAATCACCTTGGATCCCACTGAACCTTGTGTGGTTGTTTACATGTTTTCACTAACTTTTAAATAAACTACAACATTCATCTCTTTTTTCATAATATTTGGCTTTTACACAGCTGAAGATAAGGGAGTCTGTGCTCACATGATATAAAGTGGCATAATTCCACTGGGGTCATCGCAAGAGAGGTGACTGGAATCAAATAAGAACCTGTCCCTTTATTTGAACAAACTTCACCATTTCATTATTTTTTAATCTAAAATTACTCTCTGTTAAAATTCATTAAATTCCTATATAAAAGGAGAAACTTGATGGAACATGCTTTTAGACAATTTTACATAGTCTTCGCCAGAAATGTTTACAGAGAGAGATAATTTCCAACCTCATTTTCTCAAGGGAGAGAGGACGTAGGAGAAGAGAAAGGGGCTCTGCCACTGCGTGTGCCGCTTGTCAGGGCACAGCAGAATCAGGTCCTAGGCACACAGACACATAAAAGCTTGACCCATGCTTGTGAAGACAAACAAGAGGTCTTGTTTTCACTCCAGTAAGTAGTGAAACAAATTTTGAAAGTGCAACAATTTATTTGAAGTGCAATTGTTATCTGAGCTCCTCTAAACTCGCTCAGCCTGAATCACTCACCTTTATCACATGATGCTTTTCATGTTGTACAGGAATCTTAAACATCTGGCACCAATATGTTGTATCCTTGTCTGGTACAGGCACCTGTCTTAATAAAAAGGGCAAGAACACAATATTATAAAAGTCATACTACCCTGTTGCATAAGCCCAAAGCTTTGGCTACCACCTTATCCCCATCTCCACATAAACCCAAAACCCAGAGTAACTTACGTCTTTGTTTGTCAAGTCAAAGTGCAGCAAAGAGGCAGATAAGACTTCTTCTTTCTCAGGATTCAGTAAACGTAGACTCTTTGTACCACGATTAGACCCGTGGTAATTTTGACCTGCTTCTCCCATGTCTTTGTGATGGTAGGCCCATATCACCCGCACTGTGCTCTCCTGAAAAAAAAAAAAACAAAACCAAAAACAAACAAACAAAAAATCCCCAAAAAGTCCATAAGGAATAGAAACAATATCTTCCTTACATAGTTCACATAATTCCTATGACAGGTATGGTGTAGGTGTTCCTGTATTTGAACAACGACAATGTATACCAGAGGAGCAGTCATCTACTGACACAAATTTGCATTTAAAATCAATAATGTTTTATACTCATAGGGTTCATCTGAGATATGCAGAAGTCGAATCTCTCTGTGACAGATTCCTTTATTACTGTTGCAAATTTAAAGCAGAATAGATGCATAAAGAGATAACCAACTAAATGCACAAAAAATTTTTTTCTCAAGATTTCACTTATTTGGCCAGCAATCAAGTTACCCCACAAAACATTTTCCAGGCTCAGCTTTGTAAAGATGTGAATACTTTCTGTGAACTGCTGTCCTTACATGCTAGGGAAGATAGACATTCAATTACAGAACAGATTTACACCTTAAAAATCAATCTGCAGCCACAGCACTGATCAATTCTCTGTAAACCATTCTCAGATTGCAATAATCACCCTTGAGTCAAAGTACCGTAATAAATCCTGAAGTGTCCCAGAATGTTAAATTATACTGAGAATTCAGAACAGGTGCGAAAACCACAGATCCATTGACTGCCTGGAAATCTGGTAGTTTATACAGCTGTGGTTTGCTTCCTGCATCGTTCAGGTCCTCATGTTGTTATTAGTGCATATATTGTGAAAACACAGATAACGAAAATAGTGTTGAACTACTATAGCAATGCTTCCAAAATGAGTAGTAAGCAAGCCAAGGCATAGAAAGCCTTGCAAATCTCTCTAACCTATCTGTCATTTCAAATACAGAAGTTATCAACGTCATATAATTTAAAATTATGCTTAGGAAATAGTACAGCAGTCCCTAGGGCAACAGAAGAATTTACCATGAAAAGTGTTTTACCATGGAAAGAGCTTTATCATAAAACTCTTCAACTTCTTAATTTTGAATAACGAAACAAAACAAATGTATACTTTAAATAGATCTTCTCCAAATTTTTTTTTAAAATCTATCTTTAAGATCAATTATAAGTTAGTGTAAGATCTAAAAAGTGTTTCTCAAGTTGGCATCTCTTGGGTGATTGCAACTGTGGGATATGGGTCTTGATCGCCCAGAGGTACTAATTTGAATCCTGTGTTCACTTGGTGTGTTAAAAATTAGAGAACATAATGAATTAAAGTAGGACAAAGAAAGCTGAAATTAAAATATAAGATTTGAATAAAACTAGCACAAGTATTTTACTTGGTTAATTCAAGTCGACCAAACAGATATTTTGGAAAGTGATTTTCTCTGATTCTGTCCTTCTACTAAGATGAGATTTTAATAACCAGTTTCATAACCACATATACCTTTGGCCTGTATTAATTACTTCACCTCTCTACATATACGTAGAGCCTCTTACCGTTATGCTCTTGTCATTTGTGTCACAAGTGTGCAGTTCTCTGCTAAAAGCCAATATTGTATGTGTACTGTTTTCCATGGCATATTCCAGATGATAATCCTGTTGAGGGTCCTTTTTTAGTACTCTGTTTTCATCTGTAAAATAATCCTGTAGAAAAGAAAAGGCAGCTCATTATTAAAATCTGATATTAAATTAAAAATGAAACTTTATGTCCAATACTGAAGCCCCTTAAAACATACCTTTATGTAAAATGCTGAAGTATCAGAGTTTTGTATCAAATGGTAAATTTGAGGTAGCACTGAACTGTTTTTTATTAAAAATCTCCAAGAAAGCAAGTCTCCTTGATAAGCAGCTTAAAGAATGTCTTCAGCAGCTTTAACAACACCCTGCCCGTACGTAACTGCAGAAATAAAGGCTGTACCCAACAACCAAGAAGCCTAACTCATCATAACTGGGGTGTCGTGAACTTTGGGAGAAATTACAGAGAGAATGAATTTCACTTAATATTCACATCAACAACACTGTTGTTCCCTCTTTTCCCAATGTTTTTCTTTGTATTTTCTGCCCCACAAAAAGTAAACCTCTTGAATGAACATCGACGGGAACCAGAAACTCTACAGCTTAACTAGCACGAAAAGTGCTCAGTTCATACCAAAGGTGCTGGGTTGGGGTTAGGTTAGGTCCCCCCTGGGGGCAGGGGGAAGCTGTTTATAAGAAAGACGCTCCCCGTCTGGGGTTGAGCAGAGGCCCGGTACAATGGAGAAGCGGCAGCAGCGATGCCGGGTCATTAACCTCCTCACCCCGAATTCCTGCGGCCCCGCGCAGCTGGGACCAGGCCCTCCCTCTCCTCCCACCCTGGCCACCTGGAAAGGGCCGGCCGTCGCCTGAAATGCATCTCTTCTGGTTGCCCTCCGTTGAGTTTTAGGTTGTTTCTGCTCAGTTTGGGAAGGGGAGAGGGACTTTTAACTATTTAATAGATATATTTCTCATGCCCAACAGGCTCCAGGCGGACACCATTAGCTGTGCGGTGTTCTTCGTGAAATAACACAGCACTGGCTGCTCCTGGAAGGCGTTTACTTCTGTAGCTATTTCGACCTCCATTCGTTTTTAGAGAGATTTCTAGCTTTCCCCTTTTGTTAAAGCGGAGGTAAACAAGCTGAAAAATTGTACAACATTATGTCCAAGTATTTTGATACTGGTAAAAGTAGCTGATACCTTATTAATTCACTAAAGGATCGTTTAGGAGCTGTAATCTTCAGGTTAACCCCACCCTAGAAATCTGTGTGTGTGCAAGAGACCGCATGCACACCAGTCAGAATTCACAAGCTTGTCTGCCTTTTATAGACGTACAAATAACTGCATGCACAAACATTTCATTAATTTGGATGAAAAATTGTATAAAATTACCACAGTCATGATGCAGTTTCAAGGAAGAAAAGGTTAAAAAGCTGGTTTTTATTAGTATGAAAATATTCAGATTTAATTCTGTCTTGCCAAATCTACTGAACCAGTTTGGATTTCTTCAGTTCTGGAACAAATCTAAATTTCAAAAATGTTGAAAGGTACCAAGAAGAGTCCTTCTTTTCCTGTCAGCACTTCTCGTGACTACAAATGAATGAGTACATACGTGAAAGAACACACACATGGAAAAATATTTAACCAAGAAGAGCAGAAGAGGGGTCTGGGACCTGAAGTTGTATGTTGAAAGAAAGGGAACTGATGAGTTATGTCTGTTTAAAGAAAGAATTTTGGATTTGCTTTTCCAGAGGGAAATAACGGGCCTGTTCTGGGATGGTACTTGAAGATGGGTACCTTACAGGATCAAAATTCTCCACTTTTTAACCCTGCATCAGAGCTCGGAAAGAGGCAGTGTACGTCTATATGCAAGACCATCCCTGCTCTGAAAATACTCCTCTATGGAATCTCCATCTTAAAAATAGTAAGGGCTTGTCTGCATGAGAAACGTAACCTTGTGAACAGCAGCTTTTATTAAAGTGTGATATCTTTGCCAAAGTGTTACACTAAATCAGAGGAAGGCACCCTTCTATTAGAATAAGCACCCACACATTGAATTATTGAGGAATACAAATTCAAGAATAGCTTCCCCTCATGTGAAGAGGTTGAAAGTCTTTGCCTGAAACCGCTGTGAAGGAAAGGTGAGAAATGTGAAGTAAAGTTCAGTGTGCACGCTCAAATATTTTGCTGGTGAACTTCACCATTTCTTAACAAGTCTAGAGGACACAGCTGTAACCAAAACAACCTCTTGTGATATAGTCCTGACTTCCATGAGCCTGCGGGGAGAATGCAAAAATAACTCCAAGACATTGTGTAATTAAGGTATTAGCTCAGATGTGCCTTGATAACGTGATTGTCTGTAATTATTTCACTCGCCTGGATGACAGTCAAAGACAGGTCACAGCTCTGAATCACTGCGAGGGGCTCATTTTGCGGCTGACGGTGAACGCTTTGGGGAAGGTTGTCCCAAAGCCGAGATCCCAGGAGAGGACCATGCTTCTCCCTGCGGGAGGAGAGCTGCGTTGGGCACTCGCTGCCTACGCCGGCTGTCGACGCTGAACAGCACCTCGCTCAGTGACTCACCTTAAATTATTTTGTGGGTAGATGCTAATCTGACCGACTAACGTTAATCTTTCCCATGTGAAAATTTCTGTGAAGTAATGAATTCCTTGCCTCTACTTATTTTCTCTGACTGACACACGCTACCTTGAAACAGCCCTTGAATATGACGGTGCTGAGAATAGCTGGGAAGCAAATTTATGTAGTGCCCAGGAAGATGGAGATGTCTGTTTATTCCCCAGATCCTACAACTCCACTGAGAGCCGTGGGACTGCCCTAGAGGAATCAAGGGTGAGCACACTTGCCAGGAGCTATTTAGGAGTTAGTGAACTGCCTCTATTACTGCTTTTATTTCCTTTGTTGAAAATTGTCCAGATGTTCGTCACAAAAATAAAATCAAATAATGTAAGAAAAAAATTTCTGAACAGCTCATAATTTGATTGCTCAACCTCTCACATGAAAACGGTCTGTTTACCAGTTTTAAAACAAAATAAGGCCATATTGCCAAGGAAACATACTGATCTCTTTCTGTTCACAGAGAAGATTTTAAGTCAAACTACACAGACTTTTCTCAACTTACTCATCAGAGCTTAAAAGTCTTTAAGACACGTGCTTGTGTACAAAACATAATGAAAAAAAAAGGAGGTTATCAAAAAAGGAAGACACAGCACCTTGGAAAAGTTAAAAAAAGTTAGTTGTAGATATACGTCTGTATACATCTCCTAGGCTTCCTTTCAGAATAGAAAAATAAGAATAAATGAAAGTGCTGCTCCAACAGTATAAATGCAATCAAACCCACCACATTTGGAGAGCCTATACTCCATTTAAGTCCTTGTGTCTAGCCAAAGGAGAAAGCTGGGTACCTCTGTAGGTCTTTGAAAAGTGACAGCACAGAGGATGGATCATAGAGGCCAGAGAGGGGATGTTACACATCTAAGCTTCAGCTGAGCTGAGGATATCTAAATACGGTTCAAAACTCTCTCAGGGTCAGACTACCGTAACACAGAACTCACTTAAATTCACAAGTTTCACTCATTTAATTCTGTAGAGAAAGGAGTGTGACATTTTCATCAACAGAATCACGATGCGTCAACATCTACCACAGATGGTCTGAAATGTGCCTCATTTTTACTCTTCCTACCTGGTAGGAAAAGGCTTTAATGTGGCGACCTCTTCTACACAGATTTTGGTTTTGCCACCCCGCCCAGTTAGCTAGAAAACCTGCATCTTTTGTAGGACAGAATATACTGATACAAGTCCCCTTGAATTTCATGGAGGCCCAGCAGAGATCTACAATAATTATCAAGACCTTAAAAACAAACTTCTGAAACGCTCTCAGCACAAACCTGACAACATGGATTTATGTACTGATTTGGCACTTGCATCCAGATTCTTCAGTTTCTTATACAGACAAAAGTGTATATCACACGTTAAATGAGGAGAAAGTTTTCAAGTTTCACATCAGCTTTACAGATGTGTAAACATTACAGAAAGTGAAGATAAGGGTGAAACGACTATATTCTTCTAGTATGAATATCTTCTTTTGGTTATTTGAATAGTAGGTGTTTAAAAGTTTCAGAAGTGTTATTGGTCATGCTACATAATAACAAAGATGTTATTTTTATTTCAGAATTTGCTTATGTAAAGTGTTCACATGTGAAACATTTAACGTTTCTATACTCCCTTTGACAATACTGCATAAGATGGCATTTTAAACTCTGGACTAAGCTGCACAATCATTCAAACAATTAGGAACCTCCTCGCTCACATTACCTAGAAGTTGAAACAACATACGGAAAATGAAAAATCTTCCTGACAGTACAAGTTATTTTATGTTCTTCTCCAGATGTGAAGCCGATCATGTTATATTGTTTTTCAGATCCCATTAACTTCTCTCTTTCTTAAAAAAAGTTTTGCGGCATATATGGTTTCTGATTGCTGCTCTACAAACAGCCAGGGAGCATAATTTCTTAAGAATGTGAAAAGAGGCTGGTTTCTCCTTCAAGAATATAAGCACAGCTGCAGAGGGAAGCCTGACCCCGAAAGCAGCACCAGCTGTCATCGTGGACTTGCACAGGTGTTTATGGGGCTCCCTCCCCAGATCTTTACAATGTACAAGATTGTTTTGTTTATGATATCTATTTCCCATCCTAAATTATATACAGCACCTTTCAACCTCAAGGCACGTAAAATAACTCTCAAACTGTGGCCCTGTCCAGCAATCGTCTTGCAGGCTCCGCTTGCGAGTAGCTCTGTCGCCGGGATTTATATACGCTGCCCTTCTCGACCTGGGAGATCGCTGCCATTTCAGCAGTGATTTAACGCTTACAGGAATGGGAAATGATGGAAAAACCAGCTGTGTTGCAACTAGTCCTCACCGACGGTCTGCAGCCAACCCACGGAGTTTCGAACATCCCCAAACTAAATGTCTAAGACCAGGGTTGAAGACAAGTTGGTAAAAGGAATCGGGAATCTGTAACCAAGATGAAAGTTGGCATGGGAGAGGATCTATCTTAGTATAAATAGGATGGATAAATTGCTGCAGTACGCAAAAGTACTGACCAAAACATTTGTTTGAAATAGGCACCAAGCT